GGAGATGGATCATCCAGGATGGAGACCCAGGAAGGGGGCCTCGGTTAGGGTCCTCCACATCCCGAGCACGCTGTAAGGGTCCAAAAGGCAATTGATAAGCCACCTCACTGGTCATCGCGAGGGACCATCCCTTTCACTTGCCCATCTGGCTGACCGGGAGACGCGTGCTCGTAAAACTCGTCTGCCTATACTAGCTGGTTGATCGCCGGTAGTATTCGGGTTGCATTCTTGCACATCCTGATTGATCCATCCATATATGAGAAAAACAAACCCTGCCCTTCCTCTGCCGCTTAGTCATGGCGCCATCCAGGGCTGGAGCCAACTTTATGGCGCAGTCCGAGCAGCAGAGTGGCCAGCCCCATCCTCTCGCCTCTCTGCGAAATACGTAGACACTCTTCAATCTGGCTTAGTCTGAATAATGAACTAGTCCCTATTATCCCTCTGAATATCCCAATCATGGACCCCATTCCCCGCATTTTGCCATCCCGGGCTTGACGCTTGGTGACTTCCCCACACTCACTTTCAGTCTACTTGACACTATTTCCTCTTCACTTTTTCACCTCATCGTCCCTTCCATCTCATCTCTAGTTTTACCAATGTATCGCCTCCATCATGCTCGATAAGTCCTCTCCATCATTCCCCGCGCAATCCCCATCACGACCACTCCCCAAAGCACGCGATGGATATTTTCAATGTGGGTTCTGCAAAAAACACTACAACCGGGCAGATCATCTAATTCGACACGTCCGGTCGCGTATGACACTGTCTTCATGCCCCCATAATCTTTTTCCTTCTAACTCCACGCGCAGATACCCGCGAGAAACCATATGTTTGCCATGTGTGTAACAAAGGCTTCGCCAGGCCGTACGTCCGTCCTCCTCCGTCTCTGCCATCCTCTCTCTGGTTCTGACCGTTCCGCATCAGGGACCTGATGAAGCGACACGCTGCAGGTCATGATCATCCGCGAGACGGCAAGCGCAAACGTCCCCCGTCCTATGCGAAGAGCGGTCGGGTTTCCCAGGCGTGCAAAGCATGCGCCACTTCAAAGCTCAAATGCGACGAGGAAAAGCCTTGTCGGCGTTGTCAAGACAAAAAGCTGATTTGCGACTGGCACGAGGCCGGGTTCGATGAATTGACCCCGGGGTCTCCGATGCGAGGTTGGTTCATCTGGGACAAGCCGGTCTATCCGATAACTGAGCGATTTAGGGTACGATGACCCTGATGGCCAAAGCCAGTATCCCGAGCCACCTCAACCGCATGCCGCGTTCTCGCCAACAATACCGCCAATGGGCGACTACCCAGCTACTATCGATAATCCTTCATTTACCTCCCCTGACTTTGCTGTAAACAACTATTTACCTGACCCGCCCGACCCCGTTCCCGAAAATCCCCCGTCGACCAACTATGGCGGTAAGTCCCGCCTGTATCGTAATCGAAGTGCAGCGTGTGCTAATTGAGCTTCGCCGAAGCAATATCGCCCGCGTTGGATCATGAAAGTGGAATTTTTAGTGTCGATGGAACCTTTTTCCCCGAGTTCATTCCCGATGCTCTCATACCATCCTTATCCCGTCCGAACGAATTAGATCCCCTGAATGCCATGAACCCTACGCCAGACTACCGCCATAACCTTCTCAATACCAACATGCAGTTTGATTTCGATCTGACTGAAGTCGACTTTGGCCTGATCGACTACTTCAATTCCCAGGGGCTATCACACCTTGCTCCACAGCTCTCCGATGCACCCAACGATCGGTCCGATGTGGATAGTAGGATCGCGCTTGGTGCTGAGGCCTACAAACGGTCATCGCTGTCGGCATGGAAACCTGCACAGCATGACCATGTCTTTGCTGACCAAGGTAATCTATCAGTCCCAGTGGTTATGGATAGCCCAGGGTCCAGCATCAGAGGAGAGCGACAGATCCTACCTGAGAGACTCGCCCCGGGTAGTCGCGATCTCATATTCGGAATGGTATTACAGACGAGCGAAAAAGCCATGATTCCACGTATAATAAAGTCATTCCCGAGCACTGAGCTGTTAGATGGTCTCATTCAGGACTATTTTGCCTACCAGAGCCAGAAGCTTGACTCATTCATTCATGGTCCAACGTTCTACCCCAATGAACAGAGCTCCGGCATGCTAACAGCTCTTGCTGCCTCTGGCGCGGTGCGCTCGGCTATACCCACCATCCGTAAACTGGGCTACGCGTTAATGGAAGTTGCACGCCTAGACATGTCGACTACGGTACATTTGCCTTATATGTGCTTATTTGACAGATACTAATGTTGCGCAGTTCGAGTCGGACAACCGCATCACACGCCATCTTCGGCCTTCGCAAACATTCGCAGTTGTCATTGACATTGGTTTATGGAGCGGCAATGGTCGAAGGACGGAAATAGCGGAAAGCTTCCAACAACCACTGGTGACGGTCAGTTCACCCCTAAACTAGATATGGCGTCGCTAACGATAGGGTCAGATGCTTCGACGGGCATTACGTTTTCGCCGGACTATCTACACAACTATTGTGCCAAGTCCTGAGGACAACGAGGAAGAGCTGGAGAAGAAATGGCATGCCTGGATCGAGCAGGAATCTTTCAGAAGGTGACACCACCTTTCTCCGTTTTTGGATCAAAGCTGACACCTCCAGACTTGTCCATCATTTATTTTTACATGACGCTCAGTGTGCGATGATGTTGAATGTCAGTCCACTCATATCGTACGCCGAATTGGAGCTTCCGCTGCCATCCATCCGCGCACTATGGGACGCCAAGTCAGCAGCAGCGTGGAGGGATACATACCTAGACCTTGGATTACTTTCAACCGAGCGACAGCCGTCCCTAGTCGAGGCCATGCGGGACATGTCCCGGTTACAAGGAGCTGTTGATATGCAGCTGGCCGGTTGCATCCTCCTCCACGGCTTTTCGGCTATGGTGAACGAGTACCACCGTTTCAGCTTCATTTCCAAGGGAAACTCCAAGCATTGGAATGCATTAGTGACCAACTCGCGACACCAAGAGTTAGCCCAAGCTTTGCAGCACTTTCGCATGATATGCTACGAATGGCCCAGTCTTCCCAACCCCGAAGTCATCCTAATATACGAGATGATCTCGATGTTACTTTACATGTCCCTAGAAGACCTCCAGCTATTCGCCGGAAAGGAAGACAAGAGCGAGGCAAGACGAGTCTACCACAGTGCACTCGAATGGATCAGCAGCATCGACTCACGACGAGCTGTATGGCACGCCGGCCAAGTCATCCGGGCAGCCAAAGCCATTCCGGCGGGGTCCGTCACTGGCTTCCTAGCGGTGGGAGTGTACTACGCCAGCTTGGCCTTTTGGTCGTATAGTGTGGTGCTCAAAGCCAAGAACAATAAAATGGGGGGCTCGGAAAACCGCCCGTTGGGTCCTCCTTCGACCATTCGCGGCCCAACGGTCTACCTCGACGGTGACGAGACCACCGACGTGCAGAAATTCATCTCTCTCGGATGTGGCAGTCCGGCATTGCAGGGCCGACAAGGTCCTGCGTTTGTCTCTGATCCGGGACAGACTATGGACCTCACTCAGGAGCTTCTGCGGGCAGATGCTTCTCAGGATGCGCTTCCCCCGTTGGTTCAGGGGTTGTGCCAGTTGATGAATGGTCTGGGTAATGCTGCTAGATCTGGGACTTGAGAAGATTAAGTGTAATTATGATGAATATGATGTACGATTGGCGCGGCTTGATGGTGTGTTAGCTTTCCGTAGTATTAGTGGTCTACGCGATCGGATATATCCCAGTATATGACATTTGACATATCCAGGGCTATAATTAGTCCCTACCTCAAGCACGAGGCTTGGAATCAACGATCAGAAAGAATAAAAGGGGAACTTGGTGATTGATGTTCTACTACGATCTATTTCTCTAACAAACTGAAACATGAGAGGAACTAATGATCATCAGAGAGGTCACTAAGTAGTTGATAATGAGTAGAGTCTCATTTCAACTTAACCAGATACTGCTTACGTAGTAGTAGCACTATTCTACGGTTACTATGGTTGCAAGCTATAATTTTTAAAACAACCGCCATACTACTACGGTAGTTGGTAGTATATATATTAGTTCATACTTCGCAACGGATGAAATTTATATAATGGGAGACACTGTCTCGAAACAGTGTTGGAATTTTATTGAATGAACTTCGTGTCATTATAAAACTACATATTTTATTTATTTATTTAGTAGTGAAGCACTACCGTGAAGGAAGAACCCATGGTCTAGTAGTATAGTGGTAGTAAATCGTGCCCGCCTGGAGAAAATAAACACACACACATAAAAAGGAAAGCAAATCCACAAGGAAGGTTATTGAAGGGGAACAAATCATTCATGAGTAGAAAAAGAAAGAGGATGGGAGAAAAAAAACAAAAAGATAATTCGAACTCCGATAGGGGGAATCGAACCCCCGGCTGCCGTGTGAGAGACGGCGATGTTAGCCACTACACCATATCGGATGTTGTTGAATTTTACAGCAATTTCTTCCTTTATAAGGTAAAACCTACTTCAGAGACTAATTGGGTCTCGGTTTTTGTATTAGGACCGGTTTATAGCATCTTCTTATCGAATGATAATGAACTTTGGTGTGATAGAAAGAAAGATAAAAGCGGGATGTGTTTTGGTTTTTGACGAAAGGTAAGGTCCCTGCAGGGAGCGCGTCGCGCTAATGCAGTGAACACGTGGGGTGGTAGGGATCATCGCGGGCTTTTCTTTTATTCTAATTCTGATAGTGCGTACAAAGTAGTCTACTGCTGGTGGCTATGGGAAATTGTGCGACGGGTTTATTACTAGTATTAACTGTATGCGATCGTGTCTAGATTTTACGATATAATACTTAATGTGGATGGCACAGTTTATAGTATTTATCTTACCTGGACTAAATATATTTCCCGGCTTGTACCATAAATATATATACTCGACCGAGCTTTTGGTGATTGCGACAAATAGCTACTCAGTTCTTGGACTCAATTAAAGCATATTACATATCCTCATTGAATGCTAACTCATTATTCATCATATTGTACATCAGTCATGGGGTATAAAGCGAAATATACAAATACGTAGGTCAGTGGTCCAGTCATCGTCAGCCTAGCGGAATACAGCACCATTCTCTGGCTTCCGAGCGTAGACAACGGTCACTGGTAGATAGGCATGGGTCTGATAGTCGCGAAGGGACGCGCGCATTTGAGCGAGGAACACCTGAGCTCGCTCGTATGACCATTCCAACGTGGAAGTGAGAAGACGAAGCATGAAGCCCTCTACCCCACCATGCAGCCGAAGCTGGTTCCAACGGCCCTAGACAGTGTTAGCAGTAGCAACGCCTGACAATGGACAATCGCTTACAAGTTCATGTAATTTGGGATCCGCGCTCCATCTGTCGTAGTTGTCAGCCAGAGAAACATGAAGTCAGAGGAGCAAGACCTACGCGTTCATTGGCCACTGGAACTTGTTCTCCACAACGCCAACGAAACCTGCATTACCCAGGCGTGCGGCGCTCTGTTCCCAGATTTTGAAGGTCTTGCCAAACTGCTCCCCCGCACCAATGACGGTCTGGCCCCAGAGTCGGTAGAAGTGATTTGGAGGCACGGTCCCATCATCCGCGACCGGTTCGACCGAATGCTCTACCACCTCAATGTAGCCGCCGGGTTTGAGGCAACGCCAGCATTGCCGAAAGAACTCGTCCCAATCAGGTATGCAGCCGAACAATTCCCGCACGTGAATGAAATCGAATTGGTTTTCCGCATAGGTCCACGGGAGCGTCACATCGTCAATCTCAAATACGCAGTTCGGAGGGACGAACGCAGGTTGAATCGGAGACAAGTCTACTCCGGTAACTTTGGCACTGGGATATTCATCTGCCATGTCTCTTGAGCCAAAGTCAGTACTCGGTCTATAGTTTGCATCAAACGAAGGAGATAATAGAATCACGCACGTTGCCCATATCCCGGTTCCCGTACCCACATCAAGGATTTCCTGCGATGCATTCTTAGACACTTGTCGATCCACGCTGGCCAACAGTCATGAGGCATACCTGTGGATTCGAAATGGGGGCTAGGTGTAGCTTCCCGTCGAGGGTCAGACAATACATATGATGCGCTAGATCTTGCTGTTCATTGGCAATGTCATCGTTGGGGCCCTGTAGGACAAATCGTAACCGGTCAGCCCACAGCTGTGGACAACGCTCTCAAAGCCGAACAACCCACCCAGTAGGCTCCATCGCGATACGAGTGATAGCGACGGCCATACTCATATCGATAGTCGGTGATGTAAGTGGACAAGGTGATTGTGTCATCGCCAATCAAGGAGTCCTCGCCGTACGCGGAGTCATCATCTGCGATGTTGTCCTCACCATCGCTCATGCGGTTCGACATGTCGACAGAAGAATAAAGAGGGTGTGGGGTATTTGGTTCGGTGCTGAAAGAGATCTCAGTGGTAAGGCTATGCTCGCAGCGGGAAGAGGTCATGGCGGCGATCGGGAGCCGAGATCTGAGGACGGTTGCGGAGATCTCCTCCGTACGGGGCACACGAACGGTTGGGGCAGTGCAAGGGGGTGATTATCCCATGAACCAAATGCAGAAGACCCAGCACCTTTGGAATAGGAGAGGCGGGGTTCAAATTTGGGGGATTAGTGTGGTAGTTGCGATAAGGTGAAGCTGCACAAGGAGGCAGAGAAATTCGACCGGAAAGATCGAGAAGAAAGGGGGAAAGCCATCAGGTACAACTGAAGAGAGCGGAACCTGAGTTGAGCGGTCTGCAACGCCCCGAGCTGGAGATGAAGGTTTACTGTTGATTGCAGTGTGGAACGTGTTGAGGGTGAAGCTGTTTGAACGGACAGATGGTACCTGCCCAGTGCGGTTTAGTCGCGTGGATGATCGGCTCTCGGCCGTATCGGAGGGCCTCGGGCTGCTCGGGCTCAGGGTCACCTGCCGAGGCGGTGTAATCATTCCTATGCTGTCATTGGTGGCAGATGCTGGTTTGAGTTTTGCGGCTTGCTCCTTTTCGGGCTTGTTCTCTGATTTCTTTCCGATCGGATGCGGTAGAATGCGGGTCACATGGCTTGCAGATGCACTTACTAGACTGTCTTGGGTTTAGCCTGTGCAGCTGATCCTGCACGGGTGGCTTAGTCATACTGCCGGCATTTGGCTGCAGAATCCGGCAGTGCAGCCATTCCATTGGCAGACAACGTCCAAGTTATGACGATCACCGTCTCCTTTCTGGCTGCTCTGCAGGCCTGCAACCATCTGGCAATGGGGGATGGTGCCCCTCCCACCGGCGTCTGCCTGTCCCCGCTTATCAACGCACTAATGCTGCGTTCTCGACGTCACCAACTCGAGCCCGGCTCTCCCTTGACTTCGGTCTTTCCGAACCCACTGTCACTTTTAGAGACTGTTCGACCACTCCTCTAAAATAGTCAATGATATTGTGCATAAAGTTTATGACTCGTGACAAAATGCATAGTCTACGGATGTGATGATGTCCAATTACCCACAATGTGTGGTCTACCCACCTTGGGTAATAACAGCCGCTTATCAATGGACCTAACTAGCGCACGCAATGCAACAACTTCGGCACTTGCTGCTTAATGCCGTGGTGCGTGGTTTTCCGGGACTTTTGAATTGCCCATGAATCATCTTGCAGTATCGGACAATGTGACTATTTTACGGTAATGATCACTATGCGCGGCACAACCAGAACGTGGTTCGGAGTACTTTTCCTGGTTCCACTGGGGTTCGCCTGTAAGATCCGCAGATTGGCGAAGCCTCAGTGGACAAATCACAAGAGTGTCATGAGTCGCGGAGGCCCATCATGACCCTAGCGCGCGTAGAATCTCTGATTCCGTCACGACGGATTTTCTGACATGTTCCACTCGTTCTCTCATCCTTCCAATCCACCGTACATAGTCGGGCCATATTTCTGTCAACCCACGAGCTTCTTTCTTGTACCCACTCAAGGCCTGTAGCTTTGCACACCCCAAATAACGTGATGGTTCCCCCCGAGCCGAAACTCACAACCACGGTTCTCGTGGTGGGCGCAGGTAAGGCTTTGGTAGTTGCGTTGGACTTACCCCACGAAGAAGCCATGCACTGAATATTCGGACACATAAAGCTGATTATAGCTAGGTTCAACTGGACTGGCTTTGGCTCAGGGGTTGAAAAAGGTACTATAACACCTACTAATGAAATACTCCTAGCTAAAGACTTCGTTTTAGGCTGGGATCCCTACTATCGTGGTAGAAAAACATGACAGCTTAGATGCATATGACCGTGACTGGAACATGGGCTTGCACTGGGGTGCAGGCCCCCTGCAAGCTCTCCTACCAAAAGAGCAATGGTCAAGAATCCAGTCAGTTCAAGTCGACCCTAATGAGCCCACAGCAGAAGAGGATGCTCTCAACTTCCTCAACGGACAGTCGGGAGAGGCCATGGCGTCCATACCTGCTCGCCTTTTCTATCGCTTGCGTCGTCGGAAATTACGAGGATTGATGGAACAGGGGCTGGACATCCGATATGGCAAAAAGCTCCAGGACATCCAGTATTCTGCTGATGGCGTATATGCCACCGCCATATTTGAAGATGGCTCATCAACCGCAGCGAAGATTATCGTGGGCGCGGATGGAGCTCGCTCGACGACACGGCGTGTCTTACTGGGTCCTAGCAGAGGGGATGTCCGCCGGCTTCCTTACTGCGCGACCTTCGTTCAGGCCCAGTACTCTGCAGAGCGTGCTCGATACCTACGCCAATTCCACCCTCTTTACATCGCTGGCATCAACCCTGCGGGGTATTTCTCTTTCTTTGGACTACACGACGCAACAGATCGTGAACGACCAGAAACCTGGACGTTCTTCTTCTACATATCATGGCACTCCTCCCTGCAGGAGCAGCGGGAGACAGCTGGCTGGAGCAACGCGCAAAGGCTTGAGCAAGTCAAGAAATTTGCCAAGACTTACACCGACCCCTGGAAGAGTGCGTTCGAATGGCTGCCGGATGACCAGAAAGTCTGGTACATGGGCCTGAGCGACTTTGACCCGCGGGACCAATATCATAGGTGGGATAATCGAGGGGGGCGGGTAACATTGGCCGGGGATGCAGCGCACGCCATGACATATCAGCGTGGCCAGGGCTTGAATCATTCGATCACCGACGCAGCCAATTTGGTGGAAGCGGTGCGACGAATTGTCTCTGGAGAGGCGACACAGGCTGTCGCCATTAGAGACTATGAAGATGAGATGATATCCCGTGCGGGAAGTGAAGTCGGGCTGTCTACTGTCAACACGGCAATGATGCATGACTGGCACAAGGTGCTGCAGTCACCGGTGATGACATCCGGCATGAAACGGTCCACCGAGATCAAAGCCAATTGATGCATTGTTATCACCATTTTTCATTGCTCTATGCACAGTGACCCTTTCCCACCGATATCTGCCTTAATAATACGCCTATAACATAATACCAATATACATTCCAATCTAGCAGATATAGCAACGCTTATGGGTTCCACGCCTATACATGAACCCTTAAGACTTATTTCACAAACAACCCAGCATGTGTACCAACAGGATTAACCCTTCTACCCCGCAATCGAATATCCGGTCTATCCGGATATTGTCACTCCCACGGACCAGCCTAGTTCTCCCATTCTGCAGCAACAAGCGCTACGCTAGTCTGCCGTTGCAGGAAGTGCCGTCCCACCCACATACCCATGCTGATCTCCACCAAAGTAGTCACAAGTGTCGTGGATTCGTTTAGCGACCGTTGGTTGGCCCATGAACTCCACTTTCGGAGTCGAGAAGGCTTTCTCGTCCCTATGCCATGGATCTCCCATTTCAGCCAAAAGTACATACTATGAGCATGCCAAAGAACAGAGTTAATCTGAAGATACGAATATTCCTGTGCTCAATTTATAGCAAAGTCTTCCGAAAGCATCGACATAACAGAATATAAGTTACCGGTGTAGGAGTCGATGCATTGCGTTATGGCAATCACTGTTTACCTGTAGGATTTGCAGCCAGCTGTACATGTTGGGAATGACCCCTTAGATAGTGACTGTTGGGCATGTTCCCGAAGGGATTTACTTCTACATATGGCTCTGATGTATAATGTAGTCGTTGTTAATGGAGGAAGGGTTTCCTAGTTATAACTGAGCTCTTCAAGATGACTTACTATTGTAGGCAGTTTAGTCCAAATTGACAATATACGGGTGTATGTCGTTGCGTGGCCATAGTTCTGCTCAGGTTATACTACACCTTCATGACAAAGAAAAATAGAGATGAGAATTTCATAAAAAGACGAATAACCAAAAGCCTAGAGAGATAGTTGACACTTATCTTGAAGTTCTAAGAGACCGAGAAGGAAGGGGACGAAGGAGGAAACTCTCCATCAGAATTTCGCAAATCTCCACAGCTCTTACTCCTCAACGCGAGCAAGAGTCTTCAGACACGAAAGATACTTATCCTGATGCAGGGCATCTCCACCTTTCTTATAAGCCCTGAGGACCTCAGAGTTTCTTTCCTTGATTGTATTGATCATGTACTGGATACCATCAGCAGCGAGCTCCTCCAGTGTTTTCTCATCCGCCTGCTTAGCCTCATCCTGGATTTCGTGCAGTCGCCTCAGCCAGAACATGTATCTCCATGGCGAGAACCCTGTAGGCGACCGCTGTCCGAGATCTGATTCAACGAACGCCTCACCACCCTTGCTGATGTGGCTTGGACAGTTGTTGCAATATACCTCAGAGAGCAGAAGCAAGTTGTGGTTTGCTATCTTGAGCCAAGCAACAGCGGACGGTAGCAGATGGAATACCTCCAGCTGCTTCGTACCTCGATTGACATCTTCCTCGTCAGACTCTTTCCCCGAGCGAAGTTGCAGGGGACTTTCAAACAGGGTACGGAAGATGAGCAGAGCAACTTGGCCCAGTCTATCCTTAGCGACACGCGTAGAGGCAAGCTTAGCCAGGAATGTAGCAAAATTCAGCCGGTGTGTTCCCGACATAGATGCACTGTGATTGATCCAGAAATCGGTCATATCGCCAACAAGGAAGGGGAGGTCGTTCCACAATGTACCATCGACAGTTCGTGCGATATCGATCCCGTTGACACCCCGTGAGGGTCTTGTCAATGGTCCCATTCCCTGGACGCGGAGGATGTCGAGGACTAGTCCCTCGTGCTCAGGTGAGTCGGAAGAGATAGTTCGCCCAAGCTCGTAGTACATGTACCATAGGGAATGAATGTGGCCCTCGAGAGAATCAACGCCATCTCCAATGTCGCAGTAGCGGCTGGTCACGACCCAGGTCCGGTTGCTGAAGGCTATGTCTCGGACTTCTTGGTATTCACCACGTGCGACGGCCTGTCGGGTGTCTTCTTGGTCTCTGCGAGCGTGGTCGATTGCTGCAGTAGAAGGACTGTCTCTCGGTAGAGAGCTCAGTAGGGAGTCACGGAGGTGGTCCATTTTGGAGATTGTAGACGGAAAATATAAGAGAGTGAGGAATCAAAGAAGTTGACAGAATCAGACTAAGATATGAACTATTGTAAACTTAACTCCTACGAAGGAGCAGGAGATTCTCGCCTTTGGGGAGCTCTTCTGGACCCCTGCATCTTAGGCAGCAACATAGGGCCTAACAAGGCTGACAGCCCAAGATGTGAACCTGGACTCGTGTGAATGCTGACGGGCTTAACTAGTTTCTTTGTTTCCTTGTCGATCAGCCGCCAACTAAGACAAGATTAGCTGTTGATCATGCAACCTCAGCAGGGACAGGTCACAAACCCCGCATTGCTGTGAGTAAGACGGCTTGCAGGGCTGAGTCGTATTCGGGATGTGATGAGTTGCCCTGCATACATTAGCATTGTTTGATGTTACATCCAATGTGATCAACTAGATGCTTAGCTTGAGAGCCGCTCAGATGGTCATGGGGCTAGCGAACCCTTTTCGCTGCAGTTGCACAGATGTGGCAGTCTAGTTACAGTGATAGCTACTACCAGTAATTTCAGTAGACATACTTGATTATCAAGCATGACCTCAAAGTATTTCAGCAACAATTGGATCCGGACCGGGCCGGAAGGCAAAGCACTTGGCGCATGAAGGGAATTGCATTGTGGATGAACTGCCGATGATTGTTTGTTGCCTTAGAAGACATTAGTGCTTATTCCCCTTTGATGAATTATAATTCGCTCCAGAGAAAGCTACTACCCTAATTAGAAGAAACAAGATTTATAACTTTTTCAACGAGAACTATACTTTAGTCCAAAAACTTACACACATACACATTACTGCAAGCCAATTTAGATGAAACTGCCCTGAGGCTTTCATGTTAAGGTCCTCGCAAACATATGGCAACCTTATAGCTAAATCAGTATACGCATATCAACTGAGACTATGATAGCACTTCACGTCACATGTGCCTGACGCTTACAGCGTTACATCGCATGTCCGCCCTAATCCGCAGGATTTACGCCCCAGCCCTGCCGCAAGCTACAGGGCTGTGTATGCAGGGTTCAAGGCTTGACCAATTGAGCAAACTTACTAGTCACTCTTAGCACTGAGCCCTATGCTATACCCCACTTGAAGGATATCTTCGTTGACTCGAGGATCTGGAGATCCTTCCTGCTTTGAAGAATCCCAAAGATGTAAGGCCACCCAGGACTTCACTTTCCTGCTCTCAAGTGGCTTACCGCGATCCTTCTGCGTGACTATGAAGTCCCAGTCGTATTACTAACGACTCGACTACCTCACCTAAGTAATCATACGAACTGGTAAGTCAAGGTGCTTCCTCGAACATATGAGGCATATCTTTCATTGGATAGCTTAGACTATCCCACCAGTGTCGCCTCAATGGTGACTGCTTCAGAGTGAGGATAGTATTTGTCAAATATGGCAAGAGTATCCCGAACTGCCAGAGTATATAAGACACTGTCACGGCGCTTCAATTCACAAGTATCATCTCCATCAACTCAACACAGTATCGCAATCATATCTCAGAAGAAACAAATTAGTCTTCAAAATGCAACTCACCAGCATCGCCATCATCCTCTTCGCCGCAATGGGCGCCATTGCAAACCCCATCGCGACCGAGTCGGACGACCTCCTTGCCCGGGACGCGCAGCTGAGTAAATACGGCGGAGTGAGTGCCTCTACATAATCCTCCTGATCATTATAGAGATGACACTGACATTCATGAACTGTTATAGGAATGCAGCCTTGAGCACAACACCTGCACATACCGAAAGGATGGAAAGAACCACGTCGTCAGCTGTCCTTCGGCTACGAATTTGAGGGTATGTAATCATATAAACTCTTATCGAACTCCGGGCTATTTGATGTGTGCTAATTTTGTATGCAGTGCAAGACTGATCGCCACCACTGCGAATACGATGACCACCACAAGACGGTGGATTGCCAGACTCCTGTTTGAATCAGTTATCAGCACTCTGGGCTGTTTTGAATATTTCTCTGGCTTGTCATAGGCATGAGACTTTATCGTGCCTTTCAACAATGCCGATGGTCTTGTGTCAATATGGGCTGGGGTCAGCTGTGGGTTTCTATGTTGGGATTGGTTACGTTGCTCATCAGCAATCATTGTTGTTATCGCGCTCGTTTGGTATCTAGCTAGCTCTACCTTTATCTGAAAGTTGTTCGTTCATTATAGAAAGCTTGCATCGTAGCTTAATGACTATTTGAAACTTTTGGAACGCGTAAGAGACAAAGTATTTGAAGATAGAGCAATTAAAAAGTCAAGTATCGTGTTCATCGTCATCGTCATCGTCTGAAAGACTCATCGCAGCAGCGATACATAAGCATAAACATACTTCGTAAGAGTAGTATGAACGTTGATATACTGGTCAGCCGGACAGTAAGCATAGCCAACTCAACCCAAGCTGGCCTACCATGCTATTTAGTGGACAGCAGAACAATCACACAACATCCTTCCTATAATCTATCCGCACCTCAGACGCCTCCCTCGCCTCCCCATCAGCATCCGCAAACGCTGTATCACCAAATAACTCCGCAACCTCCTCCAGAGTACTATTAGCCGTCTCAACATAGTAGAAGTATACCAATCCCGCAGAGAAAAGACAGAATCCAGCAATGACAAGGTAGAAGTATCCGTTGATACCGGCGAACGCATCCGGAGAGACCATGCCGATGATGAAGTTGAAGATCCAGTTGCTGGTGGTAGCCAGAGCCATTCCTTTACTGCGGCCGCGCAAGGGGAAGATTTCAGCTGGTAGTAGCCACGGCATTGGACCCCAGGTAAAGCCATATAGGATGTTGTAGAGCATAACGAAGGCGTATTGGCCCTTGGCGCGGACCTGGACGTCTAGGTCGGCTTCGGTGAAGGCGCAGACGATGCCGAGAAGGACTGCCATTCCGAGACCTGGTTTGATGCATAATTAGCTGGGTGTCCACATTGTATACGATGATACTAAACAATATGAAATGGGATGATATAGACTCACCTCCAAGTATGAGCAATGGCTTTCGTCCCCATCGGTCTGCTAACCACCAAGTCGAGATTGTAGCTGCAGTGTAAGGGAGTGCGTTGGCTGCAGTGTACAGAAGGGATTTACGCTCATCGAAGCCTGCGGTAGCAAGTGTGCTGGGAAGGTAAAAGGAGATGATATTGATGCCGTTGAGTTGCGCGAACATCTGCACGGTGATTCCAACGATGGTCCGCTTGCGGTATCGGGTGAACATTTCCTGTCCATGGTCAGTTTTGCACTCGATTGTCTGCCCACGACAAGCGTAAAAGAACTCACCATCCAAGACGACTTCCCTAAGTTAGTTTCGAAGATAACTGCTTCCTCGATTTCCACAAACACCTGCTGTACATGCTCCGCCTGAGTATCGCCATTGGCGTGCAGATCAGCGACCGTCTGCAAGCTTTCTTGCATGAATCCGTTCTTGGCCAGCCAACGAGGTGTCTCGGGGAGGAAGAACGACATGGCCAGCAAGACGAAAGAGAGAGCAATCTGAATAATGAATGGACCTTGCCACGACATTTCACTGGGCAGAAGGAAATTGAAACCGTAGTCTACCCAACATGAAAGCATATAACCTGCTATCTGAAAGGTATATTCGATTCCAACCATCAAACCACGCCGACGAGGGGCGGCAATCTCGGTCTGGATGATGGGTACTGTCATAGACAGAAATCCAACACCGAGACCTTGAATGGTGCGACCGGCAATGAAGGTGCCAAAGCCGGGAGCGAAGATCTGAATGAACGCACTGAAGAAGTAGATAAACCCGCCAAGACGGACGCACCGTTTGCGCCCCATCATATCGCCCAGCCGTCCTGCAAGGAGTGCACCCACTGCTGCGGATGCTTGTAGACAAGCAACAGCTATCCCGGTGATTGAAGGATCGACTCCGGTTGTTGAGCCGTCAGCACCCCCGTAGTCTTTGAAGAAGCGAGCCACAAAGGCTGGGTTGACGAGAAGACCAGACATGATTCCTATCGAAGACAGCCATCAGCAACAACACGAAGTGACATGACTATTTTATCGCCAGACAGGAGGCAATTATACCAGAGTTGTACCCAAACAGGGCATCTCCCAGACTGCCAAAACCACATGTCGCATAGAGCAATGGGGTTCCCTTGAAGGGATACCAAGCTCTCACTTTCGTCGGCTTCAGCTTTCGCTCCAGCCAGCTCTGCTGCTCTACTTCCCCAGCAGCCACAGCCTGTGCAGTGCGAGTTAAAGCGGCATTATCCGTCGGTATAGAGGACATTTTGGTAGCCATAGTTCCAGAGGAGCACCGTCAATGAGCAAGGGACAGTGCCAGGTTGAGTCCACGGTTCTGACGAATCGAGATATTTAAGCAGTTGTGGCCGTCCTTCTATTTCTACCCCAGAACATCATGTCCCGTGGGGAAGCAGACCTTTTCTCCAGGCCCTGAAAGTGGAGCTGGTTGTCGGAATTGAGCCACTCTAGTCGGCCATCCGGGGTTGGCGCGCTCGTGTTGCTTTAGCTCGGCGACCATTGTGAGTGCCGACCAGTTGCAACAAAACTCCTGTTCCGTCGAAGTGGGAATTCTTTGGTTTCAGCCAATAATTTTATCTCATGATCCCGTAGGCACGGCCGACTTCCGGGACTGAATTTAGCCTTCATATTGCAACAACGATGCCGGTTGTTAGAAGATGTAGGGGTTTTCTCACCGGTTCCGTGTGGTTTCGGTTCCGAGTCCAGCTTGGCCAGTTCCGACCCCACTCGGTTCCGAGGCATTTATTCCCCGCCGTGGGATGGTCTCCTGGTCTCAACCAACTGCCTCCTTTGGTTATGCAAATGGCTCACTTTGTGGGTACGGATAGAGTGAGCTTCTGAGACAGTCCGCCGGAACCGAGATCATAGATGGCATGACCTCCACCGTCGTACCACCCGGCCAGAAGTGCCCTGTTAAAAGCCCTGACCAATCCCTGGAATCTGGTTGATCTGTACATAATACTTGGCTAAAATGGCTCCTTCAGGAATCAATCAGGTTCGTTTCATTTTTTATGATATCTCCATCAAGAGTCGACTACTGACGTCCTCGATCGGTGACCGTACAGGCTTTCGTTTTACATCCGGGTGGCAACTTCGATTATGAAGAGCGTGTGATACCCAATCTTCAGACGGATCGCGACGTTATCGTCCAGGTTATCGTGACTGGTCTTTGTGGCTCTGATGTAAGCCTTCGTTTGCGTTCATCGTCTTCCTACTTCGGGCTGCAGCTAACATCGACCTAGATCCACTATTGGCAGCATGGCCGCATAGGACGGTATGTGGTGGAAGCCCCCATCGTCCTTGGCCATGAGTCCGCCGGCATTGTAGTGGAATGCGGAAGCAAATCAGGCTTCACTGTCGGTGATCGCGTGGCCCTGGAGCCCGGCATTGCTTGCAATACCTGCCAGCATTGCCGCGCAGGCAGATACAATCTTTGTAGCGCAATGCGTTTTGCCGCTACACCACCCTATGATGGCACCCTGGCGACCTACTACCGTCTTCCTGCAGAATGCTGCTACAAGCTGCCGGCACATGTGTCACTGCAACACGGAGCACTGGTCGAACCGCTCAGTGTGGCGGTACACAGCTGTCGCCTGGCAGGAGATATGCAGCAAAAGTCGGTCGTTGTCTTCGGCGCTGGTCCTGTTGGCTTGCTCTGCGCAGCCGTTGCACGCGCATTCGGTGCGTCAACAGTCGTGATTGTAGACATCAACTCCGACCGACTTAGCGTGGCACAAAAGTACGGAGCCACGCACACGTATAAGATGAGCGCCGATTCCCCCGAACACAATGCCGCCAGAATCTTGGAAGAATCGGAGCTGGATGCTGGAGCTCATATAGTACTGGATGCCACTGGCGCTGAGCCTTGTATGAACTGTGGTATTTCAGCCCTTGCGCAGGGTGGAACGTTTGTTCAGGTCGGCTTGGGGAAACCGAACCCCTCACTGCCGGTCGGTCAAATTTGTGATAAAGAGGCCATTTTCAGGGGGAGTTTTCGATATGGCCCAGGAGATTACCAGACAGCTATTGGGCTGCTGTCGTCGGGTCGGGTTGTACTAGAGGGCCTTGTTACCCATGAGTTTCCTTTCACACAGGCGGAAGAGGCATTCAAGAACGTCGGCAACCGACAGGGTATCAAGACTGTCATCTATGGACCCGGTGCAGATGAGAATGCAGCGAAAGCAACCACGGCATAAACCAAGCCAATCTCCTCTCATTGTTCTGTATTAGTAATCTGTAAGACGCTTTGCGTGTTAAATAGATCTGCTAGCTTCATGGATCCGCTCCGGCCCATGACATGTCCCATAGCCAGTACAGTCCATTGTCACCAAAATCATCTGAGGCGATATCTGGAACTTCCAAGGGAAAGCTAGTGTCATTCCAGTTATTCTCGAACGACCCATGCCACGAGCTCTCAGCTGGGGCGTGCTCGTGAGTATCAGGCAGCTGTTCTTGGCTGTCTCTTGCGCCGTGTGTGTCCTGGAGGCTACCATCCCTGCCAGAAGGAATAACTGATGGATAAAAACACAATCAGCGTCACTGAGCATACCATAGGGATAGAAAGATGGCATTGCGCTCACCGTTTTGAACTGATGCTAGACTCTCATTCAACCGATGCATCCTGCCATAGTCTGGCCATGTCGGCCGCCGTAATGAACTGTCGGTCTGAGTTATTGGGGCATCCAGGGGCAGTCGTAGGGTGTCTTCCACGGATATGGACGCAGATCCCGTAGATGATGTGTGCCCTTCCTGTTGACTGTTTCTTGTGACTGGAGCCAGGATGGCCTCCGATTCACGGCGAAGAATCAGAGTGACCACATTTTTCAAAACGGTCGTACTTTGTCTTGATAAAGCTGACCGTTCACCCAAAAGGCTCTGTAGACGTAAGATCCGGGTGATTGTACGCTTCGCCACTTGGGTTGAATCTGATAATGGGTCTGATAGGGCCATGACTGCCAGTACGATTGCAGCATGGAATATATTGATGGCAAGAAAGGCAACAAGATGGCTATCTGTTGCAAGTTGAGCAAGTACCGGCACTTCTGTGACGCGCGATGTCCTGAGGGCAGCATTCCACCAATGCATTGAACTTTTAACCGGCTCATTCGGGGACATGGCTTCGAACGGTGACAGCTTCTGAGCTGGCGAGCCTGTTTCAGGGTGTGAAATGGGAGATTCCGTTCCAAGCCTTG